CGCTGCTGAAATCAGGTTTTGTTTTTCCTCAGCAAAAACTTTGAATGAATTTACTGACAAAGAATTGCGAGACATTTTGACATTCCTTAATGTAAAACCAAGAAGAAAGAATTTACAGATTTCGTTTAATCTGCCTAAATATGAAAAGGTGAACAAGCTGTCAAATTTATTTGGTGATTCCTCAAATGTTCATAATCCAAGAAAAAATAAAAAGAAAACTCCACAGACAATCTTAACTTTAAGAATAATGTGTCTCAGAGCTCTACGAAAACCTACATATCCAAAGCTTGCACTTGCTATTGCACACGCAGAATTTCAATGGAATGAAAACGTTCAATCTTGGATAAAAGAGAGGCCAATTGCAGAAAATATTAAAATAGAATGCCTAAATGAGTCATTCACGCCATTTTATTCCCCAGAATTTCATCCAGTAAGAAATCAGTTGGAAATTAAGGGGGTTGACGGAACACACATTCGAACTTGTCTAAGGGGAAAAATTTGCAGATCTGGACTTGCAAACATTAAGATAGAAGCTTGGATTAAGGTAGCGAAGGCACGGAAAACACGATTAAAGCTTGCATCGTTACTGGTATTACCTAATGGAAAAGTAATTGAACAGCAGAATGAAGCGTTTGCAAGGACAATGTTTTGTGAAAAAGTTGAAGAAGAAATGGCGAAAAACGGGGATTATGAAGAGGCAAATTTTTGTCATCTTATAAGAGAGTGGGGAGAAGCAGAAGATATTACAGGTATCCCGGCAACAGAAAGGGTGAAAAGAGTGTTAAACCTGAGAAAATGGCTTTTGAATGGTGTTGATTTCGGATGCTTTCCCCCACCTGGTATGTATATTAAGGGAATACTGAAAGTTACATTTGAATCCTTGTTGTGCAACCTGGAGGGACATTTATACATGTATGAGCTTGTAAAAGAACAGACGTATTGTTGGAGAGCGTACAGTAGCCTTATTGGAGAAAGTTTCTTCTCTGAAATGACAGAACTGGATCCATCAGGAAAAGGCATTTTCACTGCAGCCGGTGTTGGACAACATATGAAAAGAATAACCTAAATACACTCTATGAGGCTCAATCCAAATAGGTACTAGTTGTTTTCTTACATTTTAAAATAGAAATACATAATATAATATCGTCTAAGTTGGCTTTTGTACTAGTGATGGAAATGCATAGTTACATATTTATTTTTGTTTTAGAACGTTCCATATGCAGACTACTGAAGCACACGTTTACCCACGAACACCTGCTTTCTTATGTGAAAGACCTTTTGGAAAAGGAAGTCAGAGGGAACCACCGATTTACATCGACAAAATTACACCATTATGGGTACATTGTGAAATTAAAAATAAAGTTTTTGTGCACACCTGATAGATTTTTTTTAAATTTTACATGTAATTTATTTAACATTAACATTAAATAAAACATTGCGCAATAAATTGTATTTAAAATGCATTAATTCTTTTTCAGAGATCACTTCTTTGATACACCGGGAAGAAAATCTAATCGAAAAAAAAAACACTTGGTTTAATATCTGACTTGGAATCAGCACCAAAAGGAGTACAACCAATTAGGGTAGATGCCCATTACTAGACAGATGAGTCGAAATTGTTGCCAAGTTTACGCCTTGGGATTGATGTAACGGATGTAACATAAACTTTTCGCTTTAATACATGTAATTATTAAACAGTGCTATTGTTCATTCAATAAATTTTGATTAAATATATGCAATGTTCTGATTTTTAAAACCATTTTATTTCAAGCTTCAATTAAATGATAAAATAATACTGACACAAAACGGTAATTTTCAACAATGAAACAAAACTACAAAAGTAAATACAAGAGAAAAAAAATGACACATAATTATAGACTTCTTGTCAGATTCTTTTAAAGAAATTTATAAATTCAGATTACCGTTGTTTTTTTTTTCAACGTTAAATTTAAGGGGGCCGTCACTGCGTTTGACGCGTTTAACTTACATTAACTTCAGTGTACATGCAAAGTTTGGGGGAAATCTACCGCCCAGGTATTTTGGAAGGACCGTCTCAAAATACAGGTACATTTCACTGCATGAAAAGTCGGGTTTAATTTTTATCTTAAATGTGATTTAAATGCTCGATTATTTTATGTTTAAATGCATATTATAACATATTGTGGGATCGTAAATGTTAGAAAATAATTAGCATTTAATACGAGTTTAATGAAAAATTAAAAGAACAAATTTAATAAAGTTTGGAAAATTGTAAACTTACTAATACGTTCGGATTTTAGTCTGCCGTAAACAATTATTATACCTCTAATATACAAAACGTATAATTATTATTAAACATGGCCATAAAATTAAGTTTTACGGTAACATTAAATTTGTTCGTTTAATAAAATTTAACATAGATCTTTACCTCATTATTTTTTAATAAATTCACACTTTACTTTATAATACTTCCAAAAATTAAGTTATATACGGAGAATTGTAAACTTACTAATACGTACAAATTTTATTCTTTCAAAAACTAATATTAAATCTTTTGTATATGTGATGAAAAAATGTACGGATGAAACCTTCCCATATAATTAAGATTTAAGGTTGTATTTGATGAAATTTAACATTATTATATTATAGCATAATATTTTTATTTTACATTTATTCCATCAATAATTTGTATGGTTTACAATTGTGGGTTTTTTGGCAAGTATTTTACAATCTTACACAAATCCATTTCTCATTCAATTTTATTAGATGTCATCTCAATAGTGAACAAACAATGAGTTCTAACAAAGTACAAAATATTTCAAATTTAAGCCTAAAAGTCAGAATTAAAAAATTTACAATCATGATTGTAGCTCAATTATAATGGAGTAAATTTCTACATACTAGTAGTAAGTAATATACTGAAGTAATTATAAATAATATAAGAATAGTATTGTATGTAAAATTCAAATCCGCAATAAATCAAAACACAACAGGTAAAAAATGTAGTCATTCTGGACTCCAAAAGACTGCAAAATCTGACTGAAACTGCCCCTATTAAAACTTCTGCATGGGTTGTAAATGGCTTTTCAATTTCCCACAATAAATTATATCATACTTTGCATAAAAAGAAGAAAAGTTGCCAATAAAAGTTGTCCATTCTTTTTACATGTACATTGTAATAAGACACACTAAGCCACTAACAGAGAAGCCTCACTCGCCCACAAGCAACAGCAAAAGGATCGGTCAGAGACACCACCTTTCTCTTGCTTGGGTATCAAGATCTGCAACTTACTGCCAGCAAAGCTCTTTTAGACCACCCTTATATTGTTTCCCAAGTATTTCAACAATAGATGTCCATGCACTAATTATCCAAGTTCAACTTGAAAAATACTTAATGTTGACTGTGAAAAATACAAGACCCAAAAAAACCCTTTATATCATTTGGTTATGTCAATTCAAATTAAGGAAAAAGTATCACAATTACACAAAACAATAGCAGCTTAAATTTGTTTACAATACATGTAGCTCATTTCTGTTCCAACTGCTAGGTTTATTGCTTGATGATTGTAATATAACACATCCTCATTAAATCAACGTTACATTGGAATGCAAAACATTTCAATAGTGATATTTTCAACTTTGCTTTAAAATATCAAAAATGAGCTCTGAAACATGCATATATAAAAGTCCTGTATAAACATATGTAAAAGTATATTTAACAATTTTTTAAGCCTTAATTACAATTCCATAACTCATAATTCATAAACTCTCTTACTTCAAATGGAAGGAAATAAATTAATATTTTACTCTTGCAATTCTCATTACTCTTGCAATATCAATTGTAATATTTATTAAAATCACAATTCACCCCTTTTTTACTCAGAAATGTCTCTACCTCATTTGCCTATTCTATTTTTTACATCTATGACTCACTAAGCCACTGACAGAGAAGCCTCACTCGCCCACAAGCAACAGCAAAAGGATCGGTCAGAGACGCCACCTTTCTCTTACTTGGGTATCAAGATCTGCAACTTACTGCCAGCAAAGCTCTTTCAGACTACCCTTGATCATGATTGTCTTATTTTTTCCACAATAATGTCCATGCACTTATTATTTAAGTTAGACTTGTACATATATGTGATATATAAATCAAGATTAAAATGTATGTGATTGCAGATTACACAACAAACCAATAAATGTTTAAACAATAAAATACATAACAGTTTTAATCTGTAATCAAGCATAAGAAAAAACTTTCACTGTCAAAAATACAACACTAGGTATATTTTTCTTATCTAACATTGAATTTGTGCAAAACAGTAGCAACTCAGATATTTCATCTCTAATAGCCCATCTCTGTTCAATTAATACATCCATAGGATTGACTCTTTTAGATTCTTTATTTGTCCAAGTTCTTCTTATGCTCTGCCTTTTAGAGTGCTTTGATTTGAGAATGGCACTTTTGGTGTCCTGTTCTTTGAAGACATCCTCACATTCATCAGAACGCAACTTCAGCTTTCTAATTTCATAGATAGTATTATCTTTAGAATCATTTTTTGTACTATGAAGACGTAATCAATATTTAAAACTGCTTTTTCTTGCTTCTTCTTCTCTTCATGCCAAGAAGTTTTCAGCTCTGGAGAAGCACACCTAGCTCCTAATTTCTACAATAAACATAAAAACAAATACCCATTTGCCTATATATACATATTTTATGTGTGCTTCCGGATTTATGCAATTGTATATATTGAATAGTAAAAACAAAATCTGAGTTGATTTTAAAATTATCATTTGACCTAGAGGAAACACAGCTCAATTTTGCTTAATTAAAAATTTACAGAAGACTACAAAAGATATGCCATTTTTTCAAATCTGGGTAATAAAGACATATAATTATCTATTATTTCAGGCCAGCGAGCTACAGATTTCGAAGCGTGTAAATTTGGGACTAATGATTTTTTTCACCATCTTTTTTTTGGAGCATTTTACCTGCTTGACCTTGAACATGTTGAGGTGCCCTTTCCTCCACACTAATTCTTTCATTTAGCAGCAAGATACTATGGATATGGTAAAAAGCTGTCATAAACAAAATATGAAAAATTAATAACAGGTGTGGCTCTCCATAGAAAGAATATACAAAAAAAAAGGAGAAAAAATATACAAACAGGGTATACTTATGACTAACATGACTACGGCAAGAAGATAACATTTTACACAATGAAAGAAATTCTCTGTGTCATCTAGTTAAGTGAATTGCATAAAAAAAACATATAATTATATGTATAGATCAAATTTATAGACGACAAAATATGATATGAAACATACATAATGGTACCGAAGTCCGAGCACATGGAATTTGAAGATTTACAAAGTTTAGGAAAATGCAAAGAATAGCATTTACAGCAATTATCATATTAAGACACACATATATATAGTTTCACAACAGCAAGCGGCAGAATTTGTGGAAGAACATGTAAATTGGGGACTGGTGACTTTTTTTTTTTTTTTTTTTTTTTAGCAATTTACCAATGTCTTTACCTGCTTGACCTTGAATATGTTGAGGTGCGCAGCCCTTTTCTTCGTGTTCCTCCACGATATTTTATTTAATGTAGCAGAAAGATACTTTGCATAAAAAAAATATGAAAAATTAAAAGCAGGTATGGCATCTCGTAGAAAAAATATACAAACAGATGTATTTATGATATAGAGCAAGTAGATAACATTCATACAATAATAAAATCCTCAAACTTTGTGATCTAGTACATATTATGATATGTATTATATTAAATTTAGGGACGACAAAACATGATATGAAATGGGTGTACCTACTCGGAACACATGGGATTTAAGAGTAAACTTAAATGCAAAGGTTAGTATCTACAGCATTTAACATGCAAGTTATTGGGATAATGAACAAGTGATTTAACATAAAGTGAAATATATTAACGACTTACACTGTAGATAGCAAGTTTTTAAAGTGGACAACAAATGCAAACTTCCAGGAAATGGTGGCAATCTCATACACAATAAGTTGTACATTGTACAACAAATGATTAGTTCGTACCTCATACTGGGTAGCCAAATATCTGGTCAAGTCACTTTCAGGAAGAGAGCCTCAGCAAGTTCAATGTTGATCATTCCCATAGCTACTTCAAACTTTTCTGGCACAATTTCTGAAAGAAAAGATGTATCTTGCAGGGATTTTTATTCAAACTAGGAATGATTCTCATGAATGTAAAAATTTGAAAAGTTTATAGATGACCGACGAATACCAGACACAGAACAGAAAACTCGCTCGGGTCTTAAAATGGCTCAGGTGAACTAAAATAAATCAATTCATGTGATTTTATTGATCTTATCAGAAAATTTAAGAAATCTTACCGTTGTGTTAATCTTCATACTGCTTTTGTCATTTCTTGTGAGCATTTCCTGTAAATAATGCATGCATAATTGTGCATCACAGAATGTGATAGCTATTTTTAATAATTCATGCTTACGTATTTAATGTAAAAAAATTATGCATAGCTCAGAATCCATTGCTATTGTATTTTTAGGATAAGGAAAATACGCAGGGGGAATAAGGAAGCATACAAAATATTCTTACTTGGCTAAACCAGTGCTGCATTATGACGTCATAGTAGGCAAGATGACGTCAATTTTAGAAATCAGGTTTTCGTAATATTGGTATTTAGCTATGTAATTTAACTCTAGAAAATGATTAGAAACGTGTAAACATTAACAAAAATAAAATGTTTTTATTTTGTTATGCTGTATCTGTCATTTTGAGTAAAATCTACCACCGATGACGTCATATGTGTACATCAAGTAACTTGGGAATCGATCATGTCGTGTAAAGAGAATTTGGCTAAGACGGCTTGTTCAAAGATACGTAAAATGGAGTTTAAAAGGAAATATCGGATATATTGTGTTAAATTCATATTGAGTTCAATTAATTAAACAGGTATGCTAATTTATTTTCATCGATTATATTCTCTTTCAAAGACAGTCAGCTATATTACGTATCCCGGTCGGCCTATCGTCCGTCATTCTTGACCAAAAAATGCAACAGAACAACAATAAGCTGGATATTTTAAAACATACGATTTGTACAGATTGAAAGTTTGTGTTTTGACAAACTTGGAAAGTGCTGCTAGAATCCCGAGTTAAGCATGGTTGTACGAAAAATCTCCATTCATATGTATAAAATTCAAAACAAAGGGTAAGGTTTCGTGCGAATGTGTGGAATAAATATTTTACGGACAAGATAGTGGGATTCTAGCAGCACTTTTTAGACAAAATAGATGTTTTTCAGCTATATTACATACTCAAAGTAATTATCAAACTCCGGGGTATTGATGTTCTGTAAACCTTTTTATTAAGGAAAACTTTGCTATTAATAGAAGTCACGTGATGCACGTCTTTGCGTTAGACACGCTTTAATCTGTATGCGATAGTAAATAACAGTTTACGTTTATCAGTGGTTTTGGTAATTTATTAAACTAAATTTTCTTCAAAAAGTCTAAATTTCCCGATAAATTACTTATATGCTTCCTTAACATACCCGCGTAAGAATATAAACCTCGTATTGTCTACTTGGTATATAGAATTTCAAGTTGTTGCAATATTTTTTATACTCTTATGCTAAAAGATACAAGTTAATAAAAACATTGTTTGTTTATTTGTGATAATAGAAAATTTGAGCGGTATGGTTCTCACCATTTTCACAAGCTGTCTACATAGCCGGCGTTATGGGGAATCGTCTCAGGCACAGTCCACACTGCAACTATTTAAATAATCAAAATAAGTGCTCAATATATTCTTGAGTAGGCATTAAAAAATAAATAAATAATTTATTACATTGTACAACACTCTCTGTAAATGCTGAACAGAGGAACACTTTAGTGACAAAAATTCTGAAACCAATCCCAAACGAGAAAATTCTGGTTAAAATCCATCTTTAAGTTAGATGGTTAAAGTGTTAGATAATTATTACAAATTGTAAATAGCGCTTGCCCAAACGTTTTTACTGCCAGGCATTTTATGTGTACAGCCCAGACTAAGGAACAGTAACATTATCAGTAGCAGAGGCAATTATTCATTCAAGGACACATGATAAAATTTTGTACATTGTTCCCACCGCTAAACAGGGTCGTAAATGTCTTCATCTTCTGTTAAAACATAAATTCCATCCAAAGTTTATCATGCTTCTCCTTTTCGAGTAAATCTCTTTCGCCCCTTCCTCCCGTACAACATCATGATCAAGTTCAACATGGCTGCGTGGAACTCTCCAAAAAATTGAATTTCGGCGCGGTGTGTTGTTTTTAAATAAATTGCTTTTCGAGCCCGACTTCGATCCCGATGTAATTGTACTACAGTGATAGTCGATAGAGAAAAAACTAAGTTATATTCCACAGTTTTGAAAAATCTACATAAGGGTAAATAAATAAAAATGAGAAATAAATAAATTAAAATGAATAGGGTGCCTAAATATTTTTTTTCAAAAATGTTTCAACATAAGTTTACATTAGGTATAAAGAATTATTTATGACATATTCAAAATACCAAAAATGTACTTAAACTTTAAGTATAAGCATATTTACTTTGAAATGTCGATATTCTTAAACGGAACGTATAATTATCTCAATTAAACTTTATTATTCTCGACGTATTTTGCATTAGATATGATTATACTTATTTGAAAACTGTATTTAATTATATCACAATATATCTCATGTAAAATTTACCGTTATACATAAATTAAATTCAATACAAGAAATTTACTGGAGTAAACGAATTTATTAAATTATATTAAATGCGACTTTTCATGCAGTGTTTAGTATAGGATTATATAGGAAAATGTCAATTTGTAGCACTTTAAAGCAAATTATACAAATACTACAATAGACATTTTGTTCAAACTATAATATTTGATGAGTAATACTATATCATACAATATATGTAAGAAACACAAAATTCTACCGTCTTGTTACCAGAGGGAGCATCTCAAAATACAAAAAATTAGCAAAATTTTACTATTTTTACAAAGTATAACAAAATATGACGTACATAATGGATTCATATGAAAACATAATAAAAATATTGGAGATATTCTCACATTTTTATGTTTAAAATTTCAAGAGCGTATGTTAATTACTTTTTTCTAAGTAATATTTTTATTACCCCTTTCTTTAAGAGCTACAGATTATCATAACGTCAAAAACACAGTGCAATGACATCAACCTACCTATCAATTGCAAAATCGGTTAAAAAATTAATTATATCAAATTGTGATTACATTTTCATACCTATAATTTCTTAATTTTGTTTAATTTTAATAATTAAGCAAAAAAAGTTGCATTTAAACAGTAAATACGCTTCAATTTACTATGATGCGCGAAATATTGCGCAATGGAAACTATAGTCGGCCCCCTTAAAGTAAAAAAAGGAAAATTGAAATGTTTTAACAGCTTAGTTATTCACATTTCGATACATGTGGCGAATAGTCCTTCTTGTACCGGTAACATTTTCCACATTTTGGGCACTGAAAAGTCTTTGGCTGGTGTACAATAATGTGTTGCTTCAATCCCTTTTTAGTTGCAAATGCCTTCAAACATCTATCACAAGAAAATTCTAAATTTCTAGGGATATTACATCTTTCCAAATGACGAGTAAGATTTGATTTGTAGCAAAACCTTTTCTCACACCTGCTGCATCCATGTTTTTTTTTCCTCAGAGTGGGACGCGACATGGCCAGTATAATGCGTTTTATTAACAAAATACTTGTTACACTCTTCACATCTATACTTTCCTGTACCGTTGTGGCGATCAGTGTGATCTTTCAAAGCAAACCTAGTGGTGAATTGATCACCACAGTGTTGGCACACATAGGATTTGGTTCCATGCACTCGAAGATGTCTTTGTAGATCACTTTTGATCTTGAATGATCTCATGCATGTGTCGCATAGAAAACGACCCATTGGACGATGCTGTCTTCTTTGGTGATTATATACACCTTTTTTCGATTTGAACTCCTTCCCACAAACTTCACACAAAAAGTTCATTTATTAAGCCTTAGAACTGATCAAGGATTTTTCTCAGGTGGGATGTCGAAACTTTATAAATTGAATAATTTTGACTGTGACAAGAAATTAACCCAAACGCCCAAATTGAAAGAGAAACTAGAGATATTGTGAGCAATGAGCTCACTAAATGATACCCCGCCTCCCATATGGTTATAATGGCAAAGTCCATATTTTGCTGTTGTCGCTAAACCCAAAATATGTGTCGAATCAAAAAGCAGGCACGTAGCATCGTAAAGTGGTGGCCAGTCAGAGAATGTTTTTTAATTGCCTGAAAAAGTTGACAAGCAAAAAAAAAAAAAAGAAACAAAAAAAAAAACCCACACCTTCAATCAACATTTCTTATAGTATAAGTTAGGTCGCGGCAAAAAAAGGGAGGCAACCCCCCCCCCCCCCCTGTTGCTACACCCCTGAAAAGTAAAATAGGAGTTGCACAATGGTAATATGTAATAAACCTAAGATTCTGTGAAAGTTCCATTAAATTTCACAAAGTGGTACAAGATGATTTGCGGATAAGAGATTGGTACCTCAAAGCGTAAGAAACATACGCACGGACAGACGGACGGACATACCGATTACTATATTCCCTCCCACTTTTCAAGCGGGGATATAATAAACGTGAAATATACATCACATGAATGGGAACATTGAGAACTTTCTCAAATACCCTCTCAAACGTACGTGTCGAATCTGGACCTAGACAACAGACAAGAGAATTTTTAAAAAGCTAATTTTAGGTAGAATGTGGAATTCTCATGGGGAGTTTGCTCTCCCTTCCTATATGCTTTTTCTAAAAATCATTAATTATTTTTGTCTAGAAATTTAATTCACATTAAATTTTATTTTCACTATCATTGCACCACATTGCACCACAGAATCGAACTCGTTTATTATACCCCTCGCAATTTGTTGCGTGAGGTATAATGTTTTTGATCCGTCAGTCAGTCTTTTTTTCCTTTTTTTTTCTTTTCTTTTTTTTTTGGTCAGTGCAACTTCTCATAAACAACTGCACAGAGCTTTGTCGAACTTTGCAGATATTTATAGGAGACAATGTGTGTGTAGATTTACACATTACCAGAAAATTCGAATTCTTTATTTTTCCGGGAATTTCCGCACTTTTACATTTACAATTTGGACAAAATGTGTATAGCTGAGCATATTTCATAGAAATTACAATTCCTTTATTTTTTCTGGGAATTTCAGCACTTCGACTTTTGGGGGAGCGTGTGAACTTGCTCACTTTTTTTCTTTCATTGTGCATAAAATTATAAATAACTTTAAATCAAATTATAAAAATATAAAGCCTATACACAGTATTTATTTGATAATGAATCTGTTTCAGACGTTTTTCTTAAATTATTTTTACGAGAGTTTTAATATGCATGTTTTATCCCCCCCCCCCCTCCTATCACAGGAAAATATCCTCAAAAGGTGAATGATTCGTAATAACGCATGCTTTATTATAAATTTAATGAAGTTAAACCATGTAATCATAAATTTTATTTACTACATTTACAAACAAGAGTATATTATAATGTTTATTTTTGAGGAAAAAAATTTCAATCAACCCCACTGAGCTTTCAACCTTTGATATTTTCCCTGACCAAATAAAATGATCGGCATGGGTCACGTTTTACTATTGAGTTAGCAATGGATTACATGACTTCTGAGATGCATTTTTCAATAAAAGTAAAATAGGATAATTCTTTCGACATGTGCACACCTCTGTAACGATAGCAGTATTCAGGTAAATGTTTTATCACTGCGTTTGACGCGTTTTCTCGACCTGCATGGATTTTTGCTGTACATAAATGTATTCCGTGTAAGTGTACTTTTTATATATTGCAGCAAATGCATTAAAAATAATTCAATTCTCGGTATAGTTCTATTTTTTGTTGAATTTTTACTTTTCAAACATGTATTGGTCAGTTTATGGACTTCTAAAAAGTATGCTATCGGAGATGTGTACATGTCGACAGCCAGACTAGAAAATCACTCAAGTGAAACAATTCTACAGGGCTATATATAGCAGGTACAGGTGGCCAAAAATCTTCGATTAAATATGGCGGAATCGAAGAAATATGTCGGACAAGGGCGTACAGGAATGTAGTAAGTCGTACAAAGATGAAAACTGATGCCTTTTTAAGAGTTCATGTCAGCTTTAACCAAAAGTCAACACAGACTAGATATGTGAAACATGCCTTTGACCTCAAGGACAATCTTACTCAATCTGAACCCTTTCATATAAAATAACCAGAGAAATAGTAGCTAGCCTGGCTAGATATCTTCATGTAGTTAATAAAATAAAATTTTGGGAATCCTATGTACATCAACTAGTGAACCATTTAGGTCCTAAATTACTCTGCACACATTGTTATTGTTCTGGCTGAGCCTGGAGTTGTCCTCCTTGTCAAGCCCCTTAACAGAAGTGATATCCTGATGTGAGGATACTGCTGGACCTATATAACTATTATGTAGATTGACAGTGCATGATTGATTGATTGATAATATACTGTTTAACGTCCCTTTCCAGAATATTTCACTGATATGGAGACGTCACCATTGCCGGTGAAGGGCTGCAAATTTAGGCCTAAGCTCGGCACTTATGGCCTTTGAGCAGGGAGGGATCTTTATCGTGCCACACCTGCTGTGACACGGGGCCTCGGTTTATATGGTCTCATCAGATGGACCGCCCCATTTAGTCGCCTTTTACGACAGGCAAGGGATACTGTGGACCTATTCTAACCTGAATCCCCACGGGGCGACATAGTCCGAAAATCTGACGTTTTTCTGCCTTTTTTACGATTTTTATATTTTACATGCCAGGAAAACCTCAGAACCGGCGCCATTACGTAAACTGGGAAATCGCCGCCTCCAACCAGAGGCGACATTCTCGAGTTGATTTTAGATACTTGCGAACTGAATTAAATTTCAAAGTCAAAAGTTATAAATAGTACAAAACTTAAAGAACTTACCAATATAGTTTTTATGGTTCATTTATGAAATAGATAATCCGTTTAAAAAGGTTTTATCACACTGTCGAGATTTGTCTTTATTTCATGCATTTTAAAATCTTCCATGTCCTGTTACGAAATGTGGAGTGATATTTTCTTTTTATCGATATTGGTGATTTCTATAGGCATTGTGTTTTGATAAATTCTGATTTCGGCATTTAGGTCGGTTCACAAGTATCGCAAATCAACTCCAGTTAAAGACGGCGAAATTTCCAGTTTTCGTAATGGCATCGGTTTTGACGTTTTCCTGGCATGTAAAATATCAAAATCGTA